TTCCCTGATGCTACCTGCAAAGAGAAGGGGCAGCTACAGCAATTAAGTCATGTCACACTGGCTCAGGGGTAGAAATAGAATATCTAGGAGAGAGAGAGTGGACTAGTTAATGAATGATCCTGAGGCAATTGATTATCCATAAGGTATAAAATTGGATTCTTTCTTCATACCTTCCAAACAATTTAGTTCTCAGTAGACTGAAACTTAAATACAGAATTAAAAACTATAAAACTTTAGAAGGCAATGTGGAAGACTGTCTTTCTGACCTCAGAGAAGGAAATATTTCTTAAGATACAAAAGTACAAAATATAAAGGAAGAGATTACTAAATTGGGACTAATGTTATATTTGAAGATGACTTTATTAAGAACAAACAGAATGAAACACAGGCCTTAAAGTTAAGGAGTTGTTTGCAAGTCATAACTTCCATGGGATTAACATACAAAAAATATAAAGAGCTCTCATAGATCAAAAAGAGAAAGACAACCCAGTGAAATACTACGCAAAAGACAGGAACAGGGATTTCACAGATGAAAAAACACAAATGGCCCATAAACACAGGAAAAATGTTCAATCTTTTTAGTAATCAGGGAGTTACAAATTAAAACCACAACACTATTTATCACCCACCAGATTGACAAATGTTAAAATGTCTGACAATAACAAGGATTGGCCGGAGTGTGGAGAGTCTGGGAGCCACTCACATGGCCGAGGGGGGTGGGAATTAGCACAGCCACTTTGTTGAAACAAGTTGGCAGTGCCTGGGAAAACTGAATGTGCATAACTCATGCCCCAGTAGTTCCGCTCTTATGAAATTCTTACATATGGCCACCAGGAGTCGTGGACAAGAAAGTTTATAGCAGTGCTGTGAATGAAGGAAAAAAATGGAAACAGCCCAAATGTTCACCAGCAGTAGGTTGAATATATAAATTATGATGTAATTAATAATGAAGTACAATAAAAAATGAATAAATTACAATTACATACGTCAGTATGGATGAATTGTAACATAATTTTGAGTGAAAGAAGCAAGTTGCAGAAAAAACATGTAAGTTTATATAGGTTTTAAACATGTATTAAGTGAATCATATGACATACATAATTGCAAAGTAAGAGAATATAGGAAATGCTTAATACAAAATCCAGGACTCTGACTACCAGGCGGGGAGCCGGCGCGGTGGGAGCGGGCTGTTGCGGCAAGGGCCCGCTGCAAGGCTTCAGGCTGGCTGGGAGGTTCTGTTTCTCAGGAAGAACAGTGGGTGGGTGGGTACGTGTTTATAACTTTAAAAACTGTTCATACACATTTTATACACTATTTGATATTTTTAATTGCAAAAATATACAAGGGCAACCCCCCAAAACCCAGAATTTATTATAAAAAATTGTGTATTCTTACATCTTTAAACCTCAGTTGCTTTCAAAGCACTTTTTTTTTTTTAAAGGATTTTATTTATTTTTAGAGAGAGGGGATGGGATGGTAAAAGAGAGGGAGAGAAACATTGAGGTGTGAAAAAAACATCTATCGATTGCCTCTAACACAACCCCAACTGGGTACCTGGCCTGCAATCCATGCATGTGCCTTGATTGGGAATCTAACCAATGACTTTTTGATTTGCAGGCAGGTACTCAGTCCACTGAGCCACACCATCCAGGGCTCAAAGTACTCTCTGTTTGACTCAGTACACATATCAAGACTTTTTTCCAGCGCTCAGAATAGTTTTTGAACTTGTAGATTTTGATGCCTTTTAGTGCCTCTACCATTTTTTGTTTCACCTCTTCCACATCGTCAAAACCTTTCCCTTTCAGGACTTTTTCATTGGATAAACCAAAAAAAGCTGAACAGGGTGAGATTGGATGAATAGGGAGGGTGATCATGCTGTTCTTGGTCAAAAACTGCTGAACACTCCATGCTTGTAAACCACCCATTGTGAAATGGGCAAATGCATTGAGTCTTCAAAAAAATTCACTGAAGCCGAATGCAGCCTCTCACAACAATGCCAGCTGGTACACTGGTACAGATGGGTTCCTAGAACACTCCCCCAGCTGGGGAAGCCTGTACAACAAGGGACCTGCCCTCCAGAAGATAACTCTGTTTTTTGGGGGTCCCCCTTGTATATTTTAAAAATTTAAGAGATGGTAGGAAATGTCTTGAAATTAGATGGGTTAGGTATTGAAAATGCACAAAGATTGAAAGTCAATCTAAAAACCTAAAAGTGTTTGGAGGAGACTTGATTTTCTAGTTTAAGGCCTCCACTATTTCAGTTTTGGAGTTCAGGTGAAGGGGGAGGGACAGAGACCTCAAGGACCACCTCTGGCATAGTAAGGTCCACAAAGTGTGGGGGACATCGGTCCCTAGGCCTGACTGCTCTTCCTCCCCTCTCACTCCCTCCTTCATGTCCATGAGTGTTTAGTGACCGACTACCCAGTCCTGGGCGTGGTCCTGGGGGCCAAGCAGCCAGAAGAGGCAAAGCCCCATCTTGGCGCTCACAGCAGTTTTCGGACCTTGATTAGTACAGGCTTTGTTAACTCTCAGCCTCCTGACCCCACAGTGAAATTCAGGTCTGTGTCATAATCCAGTCTTTGAGATTTGGTTAAGGAAATCACTTATGTACATATTTAGACAACCTAATTGAAGGCACATCTTTGACATTTTCAGGGTAATATCCTTTCTAGTTTTGTGCTAGCCCATAGTTAATATTCTAATTCCTGTATTTTTTTATTTTCTAATTTTTTCCCATATATATATCAGGCCTCTCTCGATGAACTCTAATAATTTGGAATTGACTTTGATGTATTGAGTTCACTGCTCTGTCTATATTTCTGAGACTTGAAACTGTATCTAATTTTAAACTGTGACTTAAAGCAGTATTTGCAGGAGCGCAGCAGGCGTCCTGCTGGAGAGCATTAGGCGGGGCAAAGGGAGACATGTGACTTCACTGCTCTCATTGCTCAGGGTGCAGCCAAGACAGTCCATCTCACAGAAACCGCATGAGTTCATGGCCCGGGTGTTCCCAGGTAGAGCAGAACCCATGGCATGAATACATGGATTACAGATGTTGTGTATAGTCATAAAGGTGAATTTAGATATTCTCTGGTGCCCTCTGATTGTCTCCTACTTGTATCATAATTCTCACAAAATGAAGCACAGGTGGTTTGGTCGGGAAAAAAGCTATCGAGAAAATTCATCTGGGCAAATAACTTGTTCAAATAACATCCTCTGTTATAGGGCAGGTTCTGGAAATACACAAATGAGTAAAATGTAGACCCTACCCTTGCAGAGCGCCCGTCTGACAGAGACAGGCACGTAAGACAAAAGGTGCAGTCACATGGGAAGTGCGCCAGTGCAAGTACCTACGCGGTGCGTGGGCAGCTTGGAAAGGTGGCGCTGGCTTACAGAGCCGGGAGCAAGGGAGGCCTGCAAGTCGTGTTGGGAGCTGAGCAGAACATTGACACAGAGATGGACTGGGAAAGGCAGACGCCAAAACGGCTGGTGCTGCGATACAGAAAACTGAGAGAACGTGGTGTGTTGGGCTAACTAACTTGAACAGCTTGTTGTTTGTGCGAGTGTGAGGTGAGAGGTGAGGAGAGAGGAGCCAGGTGTGAAAGATGTGGAATATGGTGGCATTTATTTGGATCTAAATCTTTAAATGATTGTCAGCCTTTGAAAGATTTTAAGCAGAAGACTGACGTGTCTGGGGGAAGTGTAGACAATGGATTAAAGGGGAGACTCAGAATCATGTTACAGTTAGTCATTGGGCAAAGGGAGAATGAACAGCCATTGGGGGAAGTTCAGAATTTCTGCTTTGTTTCATGTTATTTTCAGGAAATTGGATTATATTTAGACTTTTCTGAGAATTTAATGGGTTGAAGGGGATAGTGGTAGGTGATTTGGGACCAGTGTGGGAAGTCTCTGAAAGAATTGGTACTATTCCATCTTTATTTTAAACAGGTATTAACTAACTTTGCCTATATAGTCTTAAGGGCCTGCTGATTTTTGCTTATTTTGTGTTGAAATATATACAAGCAGCATATAAAGTTAAATGGAGAATATGGTATTGATGAGGTAGGTACACAGCTGCAAGCAAGTTCTCTTTTCCAATTAAGTTGGTACATATGGTGATATACTGCAGAGGCAACAGAATGAAATGTTTAAACTTCTTTGCAGTTAATATCCTGCCAAGAAAATCTCAGACAACAGTGTTACTTAAAGGGAATTGGGTGGACAATAAAATCAGCATCCTATAAAGAACCTCCTTTAAACCATGAATGTTCTACTTAATTGTGGCATATTGTTTACTTTGGTACATATTTACTATTAAATCTTAGACTTGATAGTCTTTGGGTTTGGTGTGTATTGTTCTACCTCCCAAAGAAACGTATTCGTATGCCGACTTATTTTTGTGCCTCAGCACATCATAATTGAGAGTCATAGGTCTGATGGCGACTGCCCGTGTCTGTGAGTGTGCGCGTTTGTTTCTGTATATATAGCCAGACCCTTAACACCAAATTTTCTGCCTCACATTTATTTTGGGAATATTCTCTTGAGAGGCATGTTTTGGCCTGTGGCTTAGTCAGCTAACTTGCTAACATTCAAAAGCCATGAGCTCTCAACACTTCATCCCAACACAAATTTCTGACTCCAATTAGGGAATTAACTATAACATCTTTAAAAAAAAAAAGAAAGAAAGAAAAGATCCAGAGGCATCAAAATGGGGAATTTATGCAAAGGGCACATAGGGATGTTCAAAAGGGAAGTTAACAATTACCCTAGTAATGTGGCTGCAGAGAGCAATGAGGAAGGAAGCCAGAAATGTAGGACCACAAATGGCTGTGGAGCAGCTGTAGGTTCTTTTCTGCAGAGCCCATTAATGGTGCTTATAAGGGAACTTAGTTTATTTGGAAAGCTGTGTTCTACAGCTCTTGTTGCCATTTCTTTTGAAATTCTTTTTCATGCTTTTGAAGATATGATTCCTTACTTCCTTATTTTCTACTTTGACACAGAAATCCCCTGCAAAGAAGCTGAGCCATGCAATTAGTAAATCTTTGGGGTGCGTACCCACCAGAGAACCCCCGCATCCTGTTTTTCCTGAGCAACCAGAGAAACCACTTGACCTTGCAAATATAGTGTAAGTATATACCTGGATATGGATGTGGATTAGACGGAACTGGAGACCTTGCTAAATTCTTTTGGATCGAAGCCACCTAACATGAACACTTAACCTGGTTTTGGGAAACTTAGACTTCACGCTTTCATCTCTTTAAATCAACATAAATGCCTGTGTGGATACCTAGCTCCTGAGCCCCGAAGTCTAAGTGCCATATAACAGTCTCCAAGAGAGGCATCAATACATTGAAGAGTAATTATTGTGCTGGATTTAGCAGAGTTGCCTTTTGTTGTTGGCGTGCTCTTTTCTTAAAATGGTGGTAGAGGCCATTTCTTCTCTATAGCAGTAATGCCCATAGATTTTAAAAACTAGTTTAGACAATAGGGAAATGAAAACCAATGTGATATGCTCTTTCTGCACTGAGAGAAAATTAGGAAACATAAAGCTATATTTTATAAACAAAACTAGTGACATACACACACACACACACACACACACACACACACACACACATTTAAACTGAGTATTCATGCTAGAAAGCCAAAGGGACCTAAAAAGTTAGAGAAACAGAGAGAGGGAAAGCAAGGAGGAGCAAGAAAGATGGATACTATTCTGATCTCTTCTTCACTCTGAATTAAATGATGGTACTAAGCTTAGTCTGGTGGATAAAGTTGGTAGCTTTTTGATCGTTAGTCTTTATCAGGTTTAGAAGGTTTTCTGTTGGCATAGACATTCATTTTCTTTACGTACCTGATGGCAGAATGATACAAGCATGTAGCTTAAAAGTTTAGTAATACAGGAGAGCTTAAAATGAAACCCAACACATCCTCCCGCACTTCACTGTGTTTTGTTTGGCTTTTAGATCTAATGATTACCTCCATATCTCTAAATAGTACATTTAGAGCACCATTTCTTGACTTACCAGTTTTGGATATTATTGAATCCCTTCTGTGGCATAAGGAATGAACCCACCCTGGTTTTTCATAATTATGAGGTCTGTCTGGAAAGGTCCAGCCATTGTTAATATAACGAGAACAGTTTGTGAAACATCGATGTAACCTGGAAGCCAAGGAGAGTAGATGGAATGTGCATGCATGAACAATGACCACTGTACTAGTCAGCAAGGGAGGTAGATGCTATTGAGTGAGCATGTGCACTTTGTGGCCATCACATTCAAAATGACTTGAGTGAATAGAGCAAGGATTCTGCATCAGATGTTGTGTTAAGCTTGAATATTCCTCTGTGGAAACTGTTTGGATGATTCAGAAGACTTTTGGGGATGGTGCAATGAGTGCAGCGGAAATAGAAGTGCAGCACAAACACTTTGAAGATGGTTGAGAACCTGTTGAAAACGATCCACGTTCTCGAAGGCCTGCAACAAGCAGAACACCTGAGAATGTTGAATGTGAATGGGCTGCAATCAACAAAGATCGGTGACTAATAGTGTGAGAACTAGAAGCTGATCTGGGGATTCCAAAAACTACTGTGTCCAAGATTTGGACTCAGGATCTTGGCATGAAATGTGTCATGGAAAATTCATTCCTTGGCTTCTGCTGCCAGAGCAGAAGGAACATCGTGTTGTGGTTGCTAATGACTGTATTCAAACCGTTACTAATGAGCCAGATTTCCTCTAGAAGGTCCTAACTTTGACGGGGACTGAGCCTTCATTGTCCTATGTACAGTGCTTCTTGTATCTTGTATCTTCTTCAATAAATGTCTCTATTTTTTCAATTACATGGATGGATACTTTCTGGACAGACCTCATATATCACCATTTTTTACATTGGTCAACTTTGTAATTTTAAATAATATTCTTAAACCTCTATTTCTTGTAAGTTCTCTTGCCTTTTATGTAAAATGAGGAAATTAGTACCGTCTATTTCTCCATCTCCTTTTGCTTCCTAACTTCTATCATCTATGCCTTCCCTTTTATATTGTCAAAACTGATGATACTCCTGTTCCCTTTTATGTAGGTTTAAGTCTAAAAGTTGAGAACCAAATAGCAGCATTTACAGTTAGTACCACTTATTACAAAGTCCAGCAGTGTGCTGTGATTCTGTAGGTTCTTTTTCGTAGTTCCAAATTCATGATCCCTGTGAACTCTCATCTGAGTTCAATGGAAATTTCTTTCTTATACAACACTGATTGCTGAAAACCATGCCTGTTGACAATATAATTGCATTGACTTTCTGACTTGTTTTTCCTTCAGTTTCCCATTGCTTTCTTCTTGCTAGGGAAAAAAAAATTTGCTTTTCTCCCCACAATGTTCTTTAGTGAATTTTACCTATTGCATGTAATCCATTTTTGGGGTTAAACTTGTTAAGTTTTTCCCTTTTTGGTTAGTGTTCTTTAAGTTGCATTTTTTAAAATTAAAATAAAAGTCCTTGTCACCCTGACAGGTGTGACTCAGTTGACTGGGTGTCATTCCACGAAGCTAAAGGTCGCCGTTTCAATTTCCAGTCAGGGCACATGCCTGGGTTGCAGGCTGGGTCCTGGTTGCGGTGCTTACGAACGACAATCAATCAATGTTTCTCTCTAACATTGATGTTTCTCTCCCTCTCTTTCTCCCTCCCTCCCTCTCTCTTTCTCTCTCTCTCTCTCTCTCTCTCTCTCTCTCTCAAAAATAAATAAATAAATAAATGTTTATAAAAGTCCTTGCGTATCCCAACATTGTTGTGTTTTTTTCCTCTCTCCCCCTTTTTCCTTTTTAAGTTTTGAGAATGCCCCCTTCACATGTCTTTAATTCATCTGAAGTGGATTTTTGTGTATAGCATGATATAGACTATGAAATTTTTTCTCTCTCTTTGCTTTTGCAAAATAACTTGTCTCAGAGCCATTTATTGGATAATTTATCATTTCCTGACTTACCTTCAATGCCACTACAGTCATAAATGAAGTTTCTAGACATACATGGTCTTGTGTCTGGGCTCTTTCTTCTGTTCCTTTGGTTAAATTGTTTGTCCCTATGCCAATATCTTAATTATTATAAGGGATTAAGTAATCTTCTTTAAAGAGTGTCTTGTCTATTCTTTGTTCTTTCATATAAAGTTTAGAATCAGCTTATTGAGTTCCTCATAAAGTTTTGTTGGATTTTTCAGGTATTCATTAAATCTAAAGATCAAATTGGGGAGATTGACATCTTTACAATATTAAACCTTTCATCCCAGGAATGTTTTATGTCTTTCCATTTATTTAAATATACTCTTATGCCTTTCAATAAAGCTTTATAATTTTCTCCAAAAGAGTCTTATATATGTTAGATTAATTCTTACGTACTTTACATTTGTTGTTGCTGTTGCAAATGATACCTTTTTTCCTACAGTTTTTTAAAAATAAAATTTACATGCAATAAACTGCATCTACGTTAAGTGTACAATTTGCTGAGTTTTGGCAAATGTATGTAATTGTGCAAATGGTATCCTTTTTGAATTATGCACCTAAACAGTTTGTTGCTGGTGTATGGAAATGCAAGTTGGTTTTGTATTTTAATCCACTACGTAGTCATCTACCTTAACTTGCTCTTTAATTCTAGTAATTTGTACTCAGATTCTTTGGGATTTTATCTAAATAATTACATTACCTGCAAGTAATGACAGCTTTTTTCCCTCTCTCCCACTCCTTAAACTTTTAAGCATTAATCATACTTCTTTTTTCTTTTGGTCTTATAATGCTGGCTAGAATCTTCGGTGCAATATTGAATAGAAGTGTTTTAATAGGCATCCTTGTGTTATTATTAATCCCAAAGAGAATGCTTTCAGCATTCATTTAGTATGTTATTTGATGTAGTCTTTGTATAAACTGTTTATCAGGTAAAAGAGGTTTTCTTTTATTACTAGTTTGCTAAGACTGCTTTCTTTTTGTCATGAATGGATGTCAAATTTTGTTGAAGGTTTGTTCTGCATTAATTGAGATGATCATGCAACTTTCTTTATTAATGTAGTGAATCACATTTTTTTAAAAACAACCCTGGAATAAGTGTAAATTGACTCTCCTTTTAATATACTGCCAGGCTTCATTTGCTAATATTTTATTTAGCTTTTGCCTATGTTTATGAGTTAAATTGTTCTGTAATATTTCTGTTTGTTTTTCTTTCTGTCTTTAGGACAAGGTTTGCCTAGTTTGCTTACTTCAAAAAATTGAGGAATATTCTCTTTTTTATACTTTTTAGAAGAGCCTGTTTAAGATTGAAATTCTTTGTCCTTAGCCTTCTGTGTGGGAAAGTTTCTAATGGTCAATCCCATTAAAAAAAAGTAAGACTATTTTCATTTTTTATTTCTTCTTTAGTCAGTTTGGAACATTTTATATTTGTAGGAATTTGTCAGTTTCTTCTAAATTCTCAAAGTTATTGGCACACAGTTTGTAATATTTTATCTGCAGTATATGTGCCACTATCCCTTTTTTATCCTAATTTCATATATTTATGGTTTTTCTCTCTTTTTTTTATTTGAAAAACCTTGCCATAGGTGTGTCTAATCTACTGGAATTTCAGAGGACCGACTTTTGGGTTTTATGATTCTCTTATTGTATGTAATTGTATTTTAAAATTTCACTTCCACCCTTATCTTCATTATTTCTCTTATAGTTTCTTTGAGTTCCTTTTACTCCTCTAAGTTCTTTAAAGACGTGGTAGCTTACTCATTTCAGGTTTTTTCCCCTAACATAAGCATTTAAAGGCTATCAATTTCTCTAAGCACTACCTGAGTGGTATTCCAGGGATTGTTATGTAATTTTCTTGTTTAGCCCTAAATATTTCCTAAGTTCTGTTAAGATTTCTTCTTTGAGAAGTATACTTTTTAAATTTCCAAACATACGGGTGTTTTCTAGTTCCCTTTTTGTTATTAATTTTTAATTTAATTCATTTTGGTCTGCACAATTCAGTTCTTTCAGATTTGTTGATATATATTTATTATCTAATGTAGAATCCAGTTTTTATCATGTTCCATGTAAATTTGAAAATAACATTTATCCTGTGCTTGTTGGGTGAGGAACTTATGACTGACTGACTGGATGTCCACGGAGTC